CACACTCACACACACACACACACACACACTCGCGGTCACATGCGGTGGACCCAGCATCAGCAGCATGGAGAAGAAGGCTGCCATGGCAACGGCCAGATCCTCATGAGAATAAAGCAAATGAAATAAGCGGCTGAATGTGCCGCTGGTCAGATGAGCGCGCAGGCAGATGCCACACTATTATTATTGATGAAATCAATAAAAGGGTGAAAGGTAAACGCCGAACCTTTAGTCTTATGCAAAATGGGACAAAATGGGTCACTTGATTAATTTACAACATCAATAACGGCGATTCTGAGTACTGCTTTGCCGTTGACCTGTGACAATAAATAATACAGCGGTGGATGCTGTTACCTGTGACTGCGGTAAACATTGAGGAGAAGGATGAGCCCAGCGAGGGCATAACAGGCCACGTATGGACCTCCGAACAGACGGGTCAGACCTCTGGTCCTGTGCTCCCATCTGGCCACCTGAAACATAAACACATCAGACAAACCAGCATATTATTTCTGAAAGATCATGTGACACTGAAGACTGGCATAATGATGCTGAAAATTCAATCAATTACAGTTTACAATCTATTCACGTAGAAAACAGCTATTTTAAATTGCAATAATATTTAACAGTTTTACTGTTTTTTCTGTATGTTTGATCAAATAAGCACAACCTTGATGAGCAGAAGAGACTTCTTTAACAAAACATTAAAAATCGTACTGATATATATACACACACACACAATACTGTCTGTTTTTGCTCAGTTTTGCAGACAAAAATATTACCTATAAAGTCACAGCAGAATTGTTGTGCGTCTCCGAGCAGCACAGCGGTGTTCATAAAGGCACATTCATAAAGTAAGCTGTTTACTTCATTCCTGAATGAATCAGCCTTTTGAGCAAATTGAATGAATGAATGACTCAAAGACATTTACTGCCACCTGCTGGCAGTTTTAGTTTCTTATTTAGAGTATTAGTTCATTCAAAAAAGGGGGGGGGGGACTTTAAAGGGCTAGCTCACCCAAAAAAATTTAATTATGTAATTTACTCAAACCTCAATGACTTACTATCTTTTGTGGAACATAAACGTTGTAGCCTAAACGTTTATGTTTAATAAATTTTACGTTGAATCAAATAAATTCTTTCTATTTAAAATTTAAATTAAAATTTCTTTCTAAAGCTACTATTTGTAATGTCTACTTAATACGTTCTCATTTACAATAAAAATAGCTTTAAATAATCTTTTGGGGGTATTTTCACAGCCAAGTGTAATTTGCAATTAATTAAATTAATTAATCGACACATCATGTAATTAATTGGATTAAAAATTGTAATCGACTGACAGCCCTAATATATATATATATATATATATATATTCTGCTATAATATAAAAATATACAAATTAAAAATGAGGTTTTTGTGTTTATATGGGAAATTGCATGGGTAAACCTGACATTAAATATATCTTAAGATAACTTAAGGATATCTTGTGTAATTACTAAATATCTTTACAATCTCTTGAATATTAAAGAACTGATGCCATGAAACTTCAGCAAAACAGACTGAGCATATTCTTCACATGCATCTCTCTGACAATAATTGAAGTGTCCTGACCTCACACAACCGGAGTCTCTCTTATCCTTAATACAAGCATAATGTACAAACAGCAGCCGGTTTTCAGCTTTTCAAATCATTAATGCATTTGTTCCACAAACCCTCCTCTTGCCTGATCCCCTTCTCTCAGGCTTTGTTTGTAATGGCTCTACTCTACTGTATGGATATTTATAGTCAGCTCTATTGTGGGCAGACAGCGACCTGTTGGGAAAGCAGCTCTTATCTGAATTAGAGCCCAACCTGCGGCCTGCTGAACTGCGTAATTAAAGAGCAGAGAGGCTCAGTTCAGCCCGGGTCACGGCACCATCATTACAGCAGCTAGCCTAATTAACAACTTCTGAGAGGAGCCAGATGGTGGGTTTGTACTGAAACACTTCTACTGGCAGACATACACACTTGTTTCGCGTTGCAAATCTGCAGATCCTGCAGGTCAATCCGGGTGACCCAATCTGCTAATTGAGAAAATAAAAGTTTTGACTGTAGCATGTTCTCAAATAGCTGCGATAATGTCGACACTCATCATTTCACAAGATGGGAATAAATGAAGCACAGCAGGGAATAAAATACCAATGTTGCCAAATATAACTCACCAGCAGCTGTAAATCAGCTCAAATTCTCAAAGAAAACAAAGAAGAAATACTTTCCATGACATCTCACATCTCAACACATTTACTTTTAATAATCTTGAATTTTAACCTGAATAACACACACACACACACACACACACACACACACACACATACATATATATATATATAGTGTCACATGTTAATACTCTGTGCATTTATTTTATGTTGGACATTAAAAGTGAAGATATTAATATATTATAATATTAATCAACAGATTTCAAGACAGAAAGCTCACAGCTGCATGTTGTTGCTGGTGGTGTTTTTACTATTTAATTAAATTATTAATAATATAATATCATATAATATATAATCGAGGAGTTAATTGCATAAATAAGTTGTACATTTCAAACAAAATTCAATATATGAATTCATAGGCTATTGCAATATTTCTTCATTTAAAAATATAGCCAAACTATAAAATAATAAAACTTAAAAAATATGTACAACTACATATCCACACTGCATGTCAAAAGCTTGAAATAATTCAGATTTGTTAAATGTTTTGAGTCTCATATGCTCACCAAGGCTGCATTTAGCGATTTGATCAAAAATACAGTAAAAACAGTAATATTGTGAAATACTATTACAATTTTTCTATATGAATCTATTGTAAACTGTAATTGATTTCTATGGAACGACATTCCGGACAATTTTCAAATAGAATAGCAAATTGTATTTTCAATTGCGTTTTCAATATGTGGACGCATAAATTGTGACATAATCCAAATGCAATTGCAAATCCTGCATTAGCGTTTGCATTTTCGCTTTCGCGAACGCACAGTGACGGCCAAATTTCAAATGAAAAAGCAAAGTCCATTTGCAGCTGTATTTCCTTTTTTTTTAAATACTCCATACTTCTGAGTCCCAGTCAAGTCAATAAACCATATAATTACATGAAAAAATTATTAATTTACTTGAATGGGACTCATTCAGTCAAACTTCAGCCAAATGTCAAACTAAACTATCAAAATGCATGATCTCAACTCAACCAAATCTGGCATGTGGACTTTCCAGAAACAGTTGCACAAATTGTTCATTTCGTAATCTCAATCAAGGCATCGCGAGATTACGGTAACAGTGTGCGCTACATCGAAATTATTTCATTACTACTTCTGAAGAATTTATAGACGGCTAATATGATTGTTAAATGGACTGAACATCCTTTATATGGAAATGATGATATAAATCTGATGAAATTAAAGATGATTAGCATGCAGCCGCGGCGGCGTGTGTTACAGTGTCCAGTCCTCATTAGAAGTCTATTATGCAGGCTGGCGCTCAAACAGAACGGAACAGAACATGCAGAGACAACGTAATAATGTCAGGACGGCGCCACCATCGCCAACGTCTCAAGAAACGAGAGACTTCTGACCCGATAAACATGAATGTGATGCCACACTAATTACAATAATCAAATTTCTGCCTTTCAGTTTTCAGACACAAAGACAAAATGACTTTCTATTTTGGGTACACAGTTGCAAAAATAACTCCAAAAACAACAACAACAACAACAAAAGCATTATAAAAGCAGCTCATATGAATTCATGTTCACTGTAAATGAAGATGAGAAAGTAAATAACACCAAGCTACCTGTTATTATTTGATTGTTTTGCCAGGGTTAATTACTAAGAACGACTGATTGTAAAAGGTGATTTAGGGTTAACCTCACATGCATCTGACGGCAGAAAGGCTGAAGGTGTAAATGTGCACATGCGTCACTGCATTTATAAAAAAAAAAAATGTAGGTCTAAAATTAAGATGCATGTATTTGAATTGCATATAACATTTCTATTTGTAATCTTGCAATCTAATTTCAAAACTAACTTAATGTGATGCATATTTGTCAGTCATTCATAAATTAAATGTAAGAGTTGCATGTGATTTTATTATAATAATATGTTTAAAATGCATTCAAACTGCTTTTAATAAACATAAATCTGTTAAATGTGGGGGAAAAACATTTGAAGTTAAAAAGTATGAACATTGATAAATATGGCTATTAAACAAGTTACTTAAAAACAAGTTAGTAAAAAAAATATTTTTGAGAATTAAAACTAATTATATTTCTTGATAACATGCATGTATGTATATATATATATATATATATATATATAAACCGAGTTATTGTGTATTTAAAAACATTTAGTTTATTAGTAGCTACTAATACAGTGTATGACTGACAAATATGGATCACGTTAAGTTTATTAGTTTAGGTAAAACTAATAAAATTCAAATGGATGGGAGTTTTATATGTAATTTAAATATATAAATCGTATGTAATAAAAAATAAAGAATTCTAAAAATAAGGTAATTGCAATCAACTCACAGAATTGCTAGATGCTAGACTTGCAATTCTGGCCAAAAAAGTGAAATTGCAAGAAAAAAAGAAAAAAGAAATTTGAGATTAAAAATTGCAATTTTTTTATTCTGTGGTGGAAACAATAAAGTAGAAATGCAATTTATATAATATACTATATAGTTACATATAGTTTGTTTTCTCCAAAATGTGATAATTGTGAGAAAAAAGCGAGAATTGTGAGATAAAAAGTTGCAATTACCTTTTTTATTTTTTATTCTGTGGGGGAAACAAATAAATCGAAATTATGAGATATAATAGAACTGTGGGGGAAAAAAACTGAATTCTGAATTTTATCTATCTGAGTCATTTATATATAGCATTTTAATTTTTTTCAATAAAATGTAAGAATTGTGAGAAAAAAAGTGAGAATTGAAAGACAAAAAAAGTAAAAATGACCTTTTTTAGAGTTTTTATCTTCATTTATCTCTTTATATAAACATAGTATCTAGTTTTTTTCTCAAAAAAGTGAGAATTATGAGGAAAAAAATTGAGAATTGTGACTTAAAAAGTCTCAATTACGTTTTTTTAATTCCATGGCGGAAACGGCTTCTATATTTATAGCTCTCATCACAAGAACTCAAAGATCACGCCGAGCTTACAGCGTCTGCATACGACGTCTGAGATGAATATGAAAAGATATTGCAGGTAAAACACACACATTTGTCAAAGGTGAAGCGTACATACAAGCGTTCTGACACCTCTCATGAACTCAATCCTCAAGTGACGCACGCACGCACCAGCCTGCACTCTGTAATTACACTAAAAATACCCTTCGTTAAAGTCTGCTTACCATGACTCACAGCCAAAGCAACAGAGATTCACAAGACTATTCGAGTTTTTGTTAATTAAATTGTTCTGTGACTTCAGATGGCTTC